TGGCTGACAAGGTTGGTTAATTTTGCTGCATCTGAAGTCTCGAGGGAACATCTGGAGCAACCTCAGCTGAGACTTTCCAGGGTGACTCCTTAGCATCAAACATAAGTAAGATGTGATAAGTTGGGAAGTGATCACGTTGACAGTTAACTTTGGTCTCAGTAACAGCCAGCAGGATTAAAGCTTTATATTGATTTTTAACAAGTTATAAAGAACAGGCAGATCTCCCAACACCACAGGAAAAGGTCACACGTCTGCAGCCTCAACATTCAGCAACTGACTCATCAGCATCCTTGTATAGTCCAGCACCTCCAGCCTCAACATAAGAATGAGGCAGAAAACCCAGTCATATTTCTACAGGCTCTAATTCTCTCAAAGGTAAGGAGGACAGAAGGCTCAGTATTTTCTGCTAATTTTTGTAACCTTGGCTCATGAGGTTTTTGACTGACCTGTGGGAATACTGGCTCTCTTATTTTGTGGAGGGTTTCTTATCTTGGACCTGGTGGTGGTTTACCACCAGATCACAATTTCCTGTGGTTCTGGATCAGCTGAAGTGGGCTCTGGGAAGAGCAAGCCTGTGCTTTCTTCTGTAAGAGCTAAAACTGCTGAATTGCCTTAAAAACAGTTTTTGTCCTAGACTCTTGTTTCAATTTGACCTCCTGCTGTGGCATCAAGGCCCGGATGATCATGGCTAGTTCCTTTAATGTTGGCTAGTTGATATCTTCATCCACTGTCTGGTGCCATATTAGAAACAACATCAAAATAGAAAAAATATAGTTATAAAAAGAGAAAGGTGGCTGATCACTGCACTGCCACCATGTGTGAGTCGTGTAGTAGGTTTCGGAACAGTGGGCTTTATTTCCACCCCCAAAATAAAATACTTTTTCCAAAGTCAAGTATAGTTCTAGACCATTAAAGGGGCTCAACTAAACTCAAGCTCTAGTGAAGCACCAGGATACAAAATAACAAACAAACCGAATATTGATCATTTTGGTACTGGCCAATTTAGGCAATCAAGTGGAACAAACACTGAAAACCTATCCAATAACAAAGAAACAAAAACAAAAGCTTTTAGTTATTTATGTAAAAATCGCCTTATTCAAAATAACTAACTCAGAAAGCAAAGAAAATCAACAGCGTATTTAAGTTAAATACTCCTCTCCCCTCCCCATGATGTAGCAACACTTGGTATGTCCCAATTAGCGCTTGTTGTATGAAATAGTCCAGTGGCGGGTAGAAGATTGTTTGGTACTAGCAGACCTCAGAACCCAAGCGGACCCTGACACAGCTCTGGTAAAACAAGAGAAAAGCCTTTGTGTGATGTAGTTTAACGTTGTAGAGCATAAAGTTAACCAAATGTGTGCACAACAGATAGAAAGTGCATTACATTAAATACAAAGGAAAAAAAATCTGGTACAAAACGTTACCTGTGCTGAATATGTTTGTAAGTGTATCAGAAACTAAGGAGGCTCAGTTATGTTGTATTAAGTCTTGGTTCTTGGCTTTATATTTGTGTGGCTGCAAGTATGACCATCACAGATTGAATGATTAATGAACTGAAAATGAATGTGTGCTTCTAAGAAATACGTGGTGACATAGTATCACTTTAGTGCTAATGTATGAAATGTAAGCAGCACACTTTGCTCTTTTATGTTCTGTCAAAGAGCTGGCTATCCCACACTGTTGGATTTGGGGTGATGAAATCTTTGTAGAAACTGGGTCTGGTATGAGAATGCAGTGGCTGAGTGAGAATGAACAAGGCAGCAGTATTTTCAGAGTTGTTTCTTTGTCTGGCACACTGAGCCCATGCTCTAATCTAGGTTATCTGGCTGTAATCAGCTTAGCCCACTGCTACACTCGTTGCTGCTGCTGGGTGGGCACGCTGTGTAGTTTTAGTCTGCCTCTTTTCTTACTGCCATTCATGCAAACTTCTTGCAGGTGTAACAACTGAGAAGGCACGTTTCTCTTTTGTCTGGAAGATTGATCTGTGGCAATGGCTGACAGTGAGAAAATGGTTCCAACTAAGGTGTTGCCTACTGCAGACGTGTACCCTAAAAGAATAATGGAGTATATCGAAGGCTTCCTGATCTCCAAGGTAACATGCGTACATCGTATATGTATACAGGTCAAATGCAGAC